CATTATGACTGTGACAGAAGTTGTATTTGACCTATATGAAACAGGACATGGCATTATGACTGTGACACAATTTGTATGGGACCTATATGAAACAGGACATGGCATTATGACTGTAATGGTTTAATATTGGACAATAGTTCAAAACAGTCGTAAGATTGTAGAGAAAGAGTGAGTCACCATCCATATGTTGTTAATCCAGTAATCTGTTTAATCCAGTAATCTTAACAGATGAATCATATTCTGTGTCTTATAGTGTAACAATCCTTTGACAAAAGAACCCAAGTTAACAGCAGCCATGCGTATAATTCCAGAATGGACAGATTATGACAATGAAATAAAAGCGTTACAGGACAGGATAGCAAATAGTTCAGTAAAAACAAAAACAGAAAGTAGTAAAACAAAAGGTGAGTAAGATCTTGCAAATGCTGTCATTTTTGAGAGTTAGTGTATGTGTGCGTTTGTGGTTTCAACGTTATGGCGACTTTCATTTCATTCAATTAACGACAGACCTACCAAATCAAGACCCTCGCTATTTTCATATTTTATATTAATATTTAATCAAATTTAAGTCAAGTTTGCATAGCTTGAGATTAGTAAAGGGGGAAGGTATGGTACAAATTATATTAATAGAACTGTACCATGCCTACCCTTTTACCTAACCTAGGCTTAGCAAACATTTCTGTTAAGTCATCTGATATTCAAGATGAATTAAAATGTGATTCTATCTTGAATTGTATTGAAATTAAGGCTAATTAAACTGCAATTGAAGTTGCGTTTTAATCCAAACATAATGCAACTATATTAAAAGTTAATTCAACTGTATTAAAAGTTAATCCCCTGACTATGCCTACTGTCTGGTACCCTTGACCCCATCTACTCTCTGGTACTCCTGACACCATCCAATCACTGGAACCCCATGGCTACACCTACTCACTGGCACCTCTGACTACACCTACATGTACTAAGGGGTACCCCATGGCTATACCTACTCACTGGCACCTCTGACTACACCTACTAAGGGGTACCCCATGGCTACACCTACTCACTGGCACCTCTGACTACACCTACTAAGGGGTACCCCATATCTACACTTACTCACTGGTACCCCGGACTACACCTATTGTCTGGTACCCCTGACCATACCTACTCACTGGTACCCCCTGGCTACACCTACTCACTGGTACCCCTGACTATACCTACTCACTGATACCTCTGACTACACCTACTCACTGGCACCCATGGCTACACTTACTCACTGGCACCCATGGCTACACTTACTCACTGGCACCCATGGCACACCTACTCACTGGCACCCCTGACTACACCTACTCACTGGCACCCCTGACTACACCTACTCACTGGTACCCCTGACTACACTTACTCACTGGCACCCATGGCAACACCTACTCACTGGCACCTCTGACTACATCTACTAAGGGGGACCCCATGGCAACACCTACTCACTGGCACCCCTGACTACACCTACTCACTGGTACCCCTGACTACACTTACTCACTGGCACCCATGGCAACACCTACTCACTGGCACCTCTGACTACATCTACTAAGGGGTACCCCTGACTACACTTACTCACTGGCACCATGGCTACACTTACTCACTGGCACCCATGACAACACCTACTCACTGGCACCCCTGACTACACCTACTCACTGGTACCCCTGACTACACTTACTCACTGGCACCCATGGCAACACCTACTCACTGGCACTTCTGACTACATCTACTAAGGGGGACCCCATGGCAACACCTACTCACTGGCACCCCTGACTACACCTACTCACTGGTACCCCTGACTACACTTACTCACTGGCACCCATGGCAACACCTACTCACTGGCACCTCTGACTACATCTACTAAGGGGGACCCCATGGCAACACCTACTCACTGGCACCCCTGACTACACCTATTGTCTGGTAGCCCTGACTACAGCACTCACTGGTGCCCCATGGCTACACTTACTGTCTGGTAGCCCTGACTACAGCACTCACTGGTACTCCATGGCTACACCTACTCACTGGTACCCCCTGGCTACACCTACTCACTGGCACCTCTGACTAAACCTACTCACTGGTACCCCTGACTACACCTACTCTCTGGCACCCCTGACTACACCTACTCTCTGGCACCCCTGACTATCCCTACTCTCTGGCACCCCTAACTACACCTACTCACTAGGACCACTGCCTATACATACTCACTGGTACCCCCTGGCTACACCTACTCACTGGCACCCCTGGCAACACCTACTCACTGGCACCCCTAACTACATCTACTCACTGGTACCCCTGACTACAGCACTCACTGGTACCCCATGGCTACACCTACTCACTGGCACCCCTGACTACACCTACTAAGGGGTACCACATGGCTACACCTACTCACTGGTACCCCTGACTACACCTACTCACTGGTACCCCTGACTACACCTACTCTCTGGCACCCCTAACTACACCTACTCACTAGGACCACTGCCTATACATACTCACTGGTACCCCCTGGCTACACCTACTCACTGGCACCCCTGGCAACACCTACTCACTGGCACCCCTGGCTACATCTACTCACTGGTACCACTGACTACACCTACTCTCTGGCACCCCTGACTATACCTACTCTCTGGCACCCCTAACTACACCTACTCACTGGCACCCCTGGCTACACCTACTCACTGGTACCCCTGACTACACCTACTCTCTGGCACCCCTGACTATACCTACTCTCTGGCACCCCTGACTACACCTACTCTATGGTACCCCATGGCTACACCTACTCACTGGTACCCCATGGCTACACCTACTCACTGGTACCCCCTGGCTACACCTACTCACTGGTACCCCCTGGCTACACCTACTCACTAGGACCACTGCCTATACATACTCACTGGTACTCCCTGGCTACACCTACTCACTGGCACCCCTGGCAACACCTACTCCCTGCCACCCTTAACTACACCTACTCACTGGCACCCCTGACTACACCTACTCACTGGTACCCCTTGGCTACACCTACAAACTAGGACCACTGCCTATACATACTCACTGGCTACACCTACTCACAGGCACCCCTGGCAATACCTACTCACTGGCACCCTTAACTACACCTACTCACTGGCACCCCTGACTACACCTACTCACTGGTACTCCCTGGCTACACCTACTCACTGGCACCCCTGGCATCACCTACTCACTGGCACCCTCAACTACACCTACTCACTGGCACCCCTGACTACACCTACTCACTGGTACCACTGGCTACATCTACTCACTGGTACCACTGACTACACCTACTCACTGGCACCCCTGGCAACACTTACTCACTGTCACCCCTGGCAACACCTACTCACTGGTACCACTGCCTACATCTACTCACTGCAACCCCTAACTAGCCATAAATATAACATTTATTTTTGTTCTTATTTTCACAGATATTCATGTAGAGTTATAGCACCAAGCTCACAAGAAAGTACCAAGTATTTCTACATCTTCTAAATTATCTTGTATTGTACATGTCATCATTACCTAGATCATGTATTGTACATGCCATCATTACCTAGATCATGTATTCAAATCTACTAGTCTTGCCTAAGTGTATAACAATTAGAGGGAGGGATGTAGGGGTAAGAACATTAGAGGAGGGAGGGGACATTTAGAGTGGGGGGGGCATTGGGGTTGGAGAGAGAAAGAGGGAATGTTGGAGAAGGGAGTGAAAAGATCATTGGAGGGTTTGAGGAGAAAGGAACATTGGGGTGGGGTGAAAGAACATTTAGGGGAAGGGAACATTGGAGAGGACAGAGCAGTAATACTGTGTCACTTGGGTGATTTTTTTTCTGTATTATGTTGAGCTATTAGGTTTTAGTAAAATAAGAAACCTGTTTTAAATCACTTCTTCTAAAGTTTATTTTTGTAAAACAATTCCAATTACTGCTTTCAATTTAGTTAAGCAGAGAATACATTGTGTTTACTTGCTTGACTGGGATAACCATTCTTTTGTTTTTATATAGACAATGTTTCTGGTTTCCTGATTGGGATATGTGTGGGAATCTGGTTCAAATGCAATTTACAAATAATAAAATATATTGGATATTTAGATCAGTAACGCAATCATCAGTGGGCTGCCATCATGCTATTATTATATCATTTGCTTCTCAACTTTACTTCAATGTATGTCCTATGTTTCACCTTGGGAGTTGAATGCTACTACTTATATGTACACAAATAACAAACACTAATAGTGAAGCAGAGTTGGACAATCACTTTCAATTGTATTTGTATTTCATTAAAGATTTCATATGTAAAGAATAATGATGATATTATTATAAAAAGAGTTTTCTGAAGTTTTGAATCATGACTTTTTACTAACTGCTAAAGCCCTTGACCTACTCTAGTGCAATTTAGAGATTCTGAAATAATTTATGGTTAGTTTGATCTACCTTTAGGATCTTGGATTTGGTTTTAGAAGCATATTCTAAAAAATATTGTCTTTCCGTTATTGGAAATTATTTAATCCCATGTGCAGAGCGAGTTAGTGTGTCTAACGGTATGTGTAGGCCCGTGTGTGTAGGCGCGCGCGTGCGTGCGCGCGTGCGTGCGTGTGTGTGGACATCTTTTCATATTATTACCTAAGTTGCTTAATATTTCATAATTTTTTGGTTTTTCCATCATTATCTCAAGTTCTAGTCACATTTCAATTAAACTTAGTACATAAATGGTCCATGACATTGTGCAGACCTCATTGGTTTTACATTAAAATATTTGTTCATTAATTACATGTTTGCCTAATAATTAGTCAGTTTTCAGCTTTTCCATCAATATCTCAAGCACTCATCTTATTTCATTGAATCTTGGTAATAAATATTTTAAGACAATGCTATATTCTAATTATTTTGGGGTTTATAATAATTACTTAATTTGTATAATAATGTTCTATTCGTCTTTTCATCAATTTTTTGAGTTGAAATCCAATTCGTAATAATTACAAAATTTTCTGCCTATCGGTATAAGTGTCTGGGAACAATGCTAAAGACATGATTAGTTTTGGAATAAAATTCGAGCATACTAATTTGCATAACGTGCATAGTTATCACATTTCATTGAAATTTGGTTGCATAAATGCTCTTGGGTAATCTTCAGATGTGATTAGTTTAATAATGAAAAACATGTAGGTTTTGGATCTCTCAATAAATCAGATTTAAATTGAACTTATGGTTGCTCTAGAATAAAACATACTGCAAACCACAGAATAATGTAAAATCAAATGTGTTTTCTCTAAGTATTATAGTATGTAAATCACATTGTGTCCACATTGTGCATTTCAAATAGTAGACAATCATTAGTTACCAAGCTTCTTGTTTGAAAAACTAATCTTTAATTTTGAATACTCCTAAGCACATGGGAGTTCTTTCTAAGCTTTCTTTGATTGTAGGTTGACCTCAGTTGGCATGTATTCTGCCTTGGTGTTAGGGGAACATATTATTTATCATCCACCTTATTGATTTGTGTGACTGTCTGTGCTAATTCCCCTTGCACGGCTTGGTTTTTTCAGACTTGACAAAGAAAAAAAGAGTTCTGCATATACGCGGTCTGATTCCCTTTTGGTGTGACTAATTTGGTGTGACCAGCATCCATCTTGAATTTTCAGTCAACGTTGACCCAGTTCCCTTTGATCGTATTATTTCACAAGACCCTTATATCCACATTGTTAGTCCATGCATTATGTTGTATTATTTTGGTTGAGGTAGTTCGCAAATGTACCATAGTTCATTTGCAAAAATCTCTAGCTGTGTGTTTTGCATATAGCAAGGCTTATGACCCCTTTTGACTATACTTTAAATTCCTTGGTTTTGAATTGGAAAGGGGGACTCTAGGGTTGGCTTCCTTCTTTTTGGCAGACTTGAGTTCCCCAAATGCAGATCATTTTGGTTTTGTAATCTGTTCAAATGGCTGTCAGATTACTGTGTATAAATGTTATTTTATTTAAAAATATTAACACAACTACATGTTTATTAATTTTATGTACTACTTTACATGTATGCAGTGTTCTCCCAGCAAAATATTGGAACATTATGGCTTATTTACATATGAAAGGGCAATCTGATTAAAATCTGATGTAGTG